TGCCCCCTCCCTGGAGGTGTTCAAGGCCAGGCTGGATGAGTCTTGTGCAGCCTGGTCTGGTGGGAGGTGTCCCTGCTCTTAGCAGGGAGGCTGGAACCTGATGGTCTTTAAGGGTCCTTCCAACCTTCACCATTCCATGATTAAGCAGCACTTTGCTGAGTGACTGGAGGAGCTCTGTGCTCGTCCCATAAAGTTGTCTGTGGGCTGGGAGGGTAATCTCTTAGAACACAGGTACCCCTGACATTCTTTTTATTGAAATTCTGGCCTCTTAATTCCTGCAGCAGCAGGTAATTATCTTTTTTCCCCAGTCCTTATGCTGCCAAGCTGGGTGCCTACTATCCAGCAATCTGGGGCACAGCTTGCAGAAGGTGCAGGCACAGTGATGCTCCAGAAGTGAGATCCTTCTTTTCCTTTTCTGAAAAAAGGAGAGTTGTGTTATCAAAACCTATTTACATGCAGTGTGAGGAAAAAAACTAATCAGACTAAGGAATGCTAGATGAGGTTTAAATACTTAATAAAGAAGAAAAAAGTTAATGTCTTCAAGCTTGGGTAGCTTGGTTTAGACATAGCGATAATTTATCTGGATTCTCAGAAATTCCTGCTTTTCCACTGATTGCACTGATTCTAATTTAGACTGTGCTTTTGAAATCTTAAGTGAGTGTTTATGCAGTTGAAATTTCACTGTGGGAAACCACAGGAATAATTTTTGATCAATATGTTTCACAAAATCTTATGCCTAAAAAACTATGCTCTTCCAAATGGAAGGATATTTAAAAAAAAAACAAAACCAACCAAACACAACAAACCCAGAACCCAGTTCAGGGATTTTGAACCCCCATTGTCCACAGTTGTTTTGCAATGTAAAGACAACTACTGTGAGCCTGGTGGTGTTAATTCTTCAGTTTCATGTGTATTTGAGGGGAAAAAAAGCCAGGACAGCCCTCTTCAGAGGCATTCTCTAGCTAATTATGTTTTGGCACACAATGAAAGAATGCGATGTTCTCTCTTAAGTGCTTCCTTTCAACCTAAACATTGTGCAACAGGAGCAGCAGTTTAAAGCCAGATGGAAAAAAAATGAAGACAATCTGAAGTGCTTTTTCTCCTGCTCTGTGTTTCTTCTCTGATCATTACTGTAAGCTTTGGGTTAGCAGAGCAGAGCGACTCTGAAATGTTAGCATGGGAAAGGGAACACCTACGGCTGGAATTGCATTTCCTAGACCATATAGTCTATGGAAAAAGGGTAATCTAAGTCAGCGGAGGAGTTTAAATGTCTTGGGTATTCAGTCATGTCACATTTAATTTTAATTGCCTTTGAACAAAAGGAATTTCCTCTTCTAGCTCAGCATTCAGAGACGCTGGAAAAGGCTTTTGCTGACTCAAAAACTTGACAGTTCTTATTTTCCACCCTTTGTTCCTACCTTCTTGTGGGTAGCTGGCTGCTCTTTTTATTAGAAAAATAGCTTCTTTTTCTTTTTCTTTTTTTGCCCCCACCAGTAGAAGTCTGGACATCCTGCTGCAAGATGTGCAAAAGGAGTTCTCAGTTGTGTAGGAAAAATGTAGGGAACAGGGGATTTGATGGCCAGACTGTGCACTCTGGCAGTGAACATCCTGCTTTTTTGTTGTTTGTTTTGTTGTTCTTTTTTTAAAAAAAGCCACAAAGAATCTCAGCAAGGTAAAAGGGGGAATGTCAGTCTGTGAATGAAATCTCATCACTGAAGTGTGGGGAGTGCAAGGATCTAGATTTTTACTTTGACCCAGTTAGGATGCACAACCCAGCAGCTTTGTCTCCTGTTCGGGGCCTGGTGTCTCATTAATAAAAATGAGTTTAGAGTTTTGGTCCATTCTCTAAGGAGAGAGATTAACAATCCTGACTGACAATTCCCAGTGTTTTAGATGGGAATTATATGAAGGATAATGTCCTAATTAGGATGCCAGGTTTAGAACCTGCCCTTGTAGGTGCATGGCAAAATAGGTTGAGTTGGCAGCTGTCTAAAAACACCCTGTGAGTGCTGCTGGTGGGACAGAAAGTACATGTTCCAAACGTTGGGCTTCAAAATGGTAACCTGGGATACAGTATTTGTGTGTGATGTAAAGATATTTGTAGTGCAAGAATTTAAATGTTCTGTGTATGCCCTACTAGTACCATACGTTGTTCTTCTGTCAAATCCCTCAGTAGCTGGCCTAAAAAAAAAAAATAGGAGGAAAAAAAAAGTTATGTGAAGCCATTAGAAACATTTTCCTACTCGAGTTATTTGTTGAAAGTGTGAACCTCTTAAAATAAGCAACCACTACTACCAGGAGAGTGGAGCGAGACGCTGAGGAGCTTCTCTAATAATTTTTAGTTCAAGTGTGAATCACACTGGGAGTGGGTCAAATTTGGCTCATTTAATTAAGTATATTTATTTGAGGAATTCTCAGTGGCACTGAGTGGTAGTGTCTGAGCTACCCAGTCATGAAGCTTTTTAAAGTGAAAAGTGTCAGTAATATCACTCTAATAGTGCTTTAGCCAGTTGTCTCAGGAAGAGAGGAGCTAGGGAAGAATTATTTCTGTGCTAAGTGTCTTTTTTTAACTCTCTCACAGTATAATGTGCAGGTAATAAAACTTTGGTGCAGTTACTGGCAGTCTGGCCCACAGCTCGACCTGCACAGGAAATGTCTCCTTCTCCTTTTACAGGATGACAACTGGACACACAATATCCTGATTACTTCCAGGTTACAGAGGTCTCACAGAAAAGATAAACTCATTTGATGGACTTGATTGACAGTGGTGTGAAATGACTGGCAGGCAAGGGGGGAGATGCACGTGTGTTCTGATTCAGGGCTGCAGGTTTGTAACAGGAGCAGATGGTTCTCTGAGCAAGAGAGGAGATTCTCTTCCTTTTCTCTCAGTGCCCAAGAATAACAGAGAGGAAAAAACTTACTCTCTTAGGCTAATAATGCTGTGTTCAGGGTACAGGTAAGGTGCTACACAGAAAGAGGCATCTAGGAGTGAGGGAGTATTGTATTCACTTAGGCAAATTGAGAACCCAGTGGGATGGTCTCCTCTCAGCTAATGTTGCTGGTAATTGGACAGGAATCCTGGGGTGATTGGTTGGGAACCACAAAAAAAGTGATAGGCAAGTAGGGCTCACATCGCTGATGTCTTTTTTTCTACCATGGCTTTGCTTGCTTAGCCACTGCCTCTGCTAAAGCAGGTTAGCCTTGGCAGAACTTCTACTGGGAGTTGGTGGCCACAGTTGGGTCTTGCCACTTCGTGCAGGTATCAGGGGGTGCTCTGATCTTGATGAGAGGTGTGACACCACTGACTTCTCCTTGCAAGATCACCTTGTACCTTCAGCTGAGGTCTGAGCTTCTGTAGTGTGATCTGAGCATTTCTTAGTGTTATCAACTGAGTGTGGGTTTGCTGCTTTTACAGCTTCTGTGTGTTGCAGTCAGGTACAGGATTTAGGTACAAATCTGCAAAGTTCTGTGTGGTGTTTTTAGATAATAAGTTTCTTTGTTGTTTTTGAACTCTGTTACTCAAGTGTGGAGGAGAGAAAGGGCAATAGCAAGTGGCTGGGTAAAGAGATTTGATAGAGGAGACCTGTGGAGGGAAAAATTACTGTTGTACCACTGCAGATGTCAGTGAACTTACCAGCAGTAGGGGCTGTCTGCAGGATTCTTGTCCCTGTTTCCATTTTCAAAAACTGTGGAAACCTGTATGCAAATAGCAGTTAGAAGCAAGCATGGGACTTCATTTTCAAAATTTTGTTGGAGGTCTTGACACAGGACCAGGCAGTTCTGTTGCAAGTGTGTGAAGGAGTCGTGTGCCACTTAGAATTCACAAGGGTCACTGCCTCTTTGGTGGCAGTCAAGCAAACCTAAACCCCAGGAAACTACCCAGATCAATGTAAATTAATATTTGTGGGGGTTCACTATAAGTTTTGTGGTGAAAAGAGTCATGAAAGACCTGCTTCCTGAAAATTTCAGCCTGTGGAGGGTATTGTGCATGCACTTGATGTGTATCCCAGCATCACTGGTGTGTGTTCACCCAAGGTGCATAACTGGGCTCCTGTGTCTGTCCCCCTGCGTGTGATCCACGTGCTCTCTCTGAGGTTGCAGTGGCCTTCCTCTTGGATTGCCCCTGCTATGTCGGACCTGGCTTAACAGGACCATGTGTCAAAACACTTTTCTTCTTTCTTACATGCGCTCTTGGTGTCTGCGTAAAATGAGTACAAGACGTTGTTACCGTAAGAGGTGATAGTGTTCAGGGTCAGTTGAGATGTTGAGTAAGGCACTCAGCACTGACCTCTAGGGAACTCCACTAGTTACAGCTCTCCAGCTGGACTCTGTGCCATGGATCATAACCCTCTGAGCTCTACTGTTCAGCCAGTTCTCAGTCCATCTCACCACCCACTCTTCCAACCTACACTTCCTGAGCTTACCCATGAGGATGTTAGGGAGTCAGTGTCAAAAGCCTTGCTAAAGTCAAGGTAGACAACATCCACTGCTCTCCCTACATCTACCCATTCAGTCACAAGGGAAGATTTATAATATATACAAGTACAGTAATTTATATAACTAGTATATGTTACATAATATATATTGTAACTAATATAATAATATATCCAAGTATCCAAGTGAAGGTTTATAAGCTTGAGTGTTCCAGCTAAAGGGAGCCATGACACATGTTTTATTTGCCTACATGAAATGGGTGGGCTTATATCCAGACCAGCTGTCTAGTAGATCATTCGGTCCACACTGGTGTGGTAAGTGGCATGGTCTGTTGAAGACCGACGCAGGTTTTTATGGTTGTTCAGCTGGACGTGTTGGTTGGAGCCCTTCACCCTTCGTTCTGCTGATGTGCACTTCTGTAGCTGCACATCTGATCTTTGGTCTTCAGGCTCTTTCCATGCTCCTCTTCTAATTTGAGTTTGGTTTTAGGTGTTCCTATGGTTTCTCTGATTCTGTTTCTCTTGGCAGAGCTGCGGAAAAGCAGGCCAAGGCCCTACGGGTTAGTGATTCCCATCAGTACCGATGCAGACGGGAGCTACGTCTCCAATATCCTCTCTGCAAGTCACCAAAGAAGATCCACACGGGAGGTATCCCAAAGCCCCAGACAGCTCTATTTTAATGTCACTGCCTTCGGAAGGGAATTCCATCTCCGGCTGAAACCCAACACTCGCTTGGTGGCCCCCGAGGCTGTCGTGGAGTGGTACGCAGACTCTGTGGAAACTGGAGACGATGCTGGTAACACGAGCTGGACTAGAACCTCTACAGAGAGATTATGGAAAAGAGAGCCCCTGTGGACCAACTGTGCCTACGTGGGAGACATAACGGACATCCCTGGAGCTTCTGTTGCCATTAGCAATTGTGATGGTCTGGTAAGGCTTATTTAATGGCAGTAATGTCTGGTGTTTGACACAGCCTTTGTTGCTTTTAACTACATGATAGCGTTGGAGGAGCTTGTATTGATGTGTACAGTCCTACTGCTTTGTTCTGGGGTAATTTCTCTTGAGTTTGATGAGCAACATCCTTGATGTCACTGGTGTGAGAGGCAGAAATCAAACCTAGGTTCTGCTGGTTTTCCTTTTTAATTTCATGAGGTGTTACAAACGGGAGAATGAATAACAAAGACATTCTAAGACTTAAAAGACAACCTTTTGGTGAGTGAATGTAGAATTTGGCATCCAAATCATCACTGTGTGTTTGTCAGGCTGCCCTGCAGTCCAAGAATAGCAAGAGGTTTCAGTTTTAAAGGGTTTATTTATAAAATAAGCATGCTTTTAGTTTTCTTACATGCAGTTGTGCTCCATCAGAAGGTATCAGATGAGAATTGAGTGGTTCACACCTATAAATGGCTCGTTCTCAAAGCTGCCCTGGGCTGGTGGCTGGGACTTGGGAGCATGTGGTATTTTGGTGTGGCTGCAGCAGATGCAGTGACTGGCTTGGTGCACAAATCCCATATTGAGAGACTGGGCATCTGTTGAGCACACACACCATTCCTTAATTCAATCATGTGGCAAAGCAAGCTAACAATGCTCACCTTGTACTCTGTAAGTAGCAGGAACAGTGGTGGAACACGACTGCAACATCCAGGAAGATTAACCTAGTGGTTACTCTACTCCTAGTCAGGAGAGGAGTCATAGGAGCAAGTCTGCAACAAGTATCCCTTCCTGGAAACAGGTTTCCCTCTTTCCATTTGTGTGCCACACAGTGGTGATGTGATGCCATCATGCACTGAGTGCTGGTGAGCAGACCTCCTGCCTCACCTCTGAGCTGTGCCATACATGTCCCAGACTCCTCACTCAGACCTCCAACTGAAGCTTCCTTACCTAAAGAAAGGAAGTACTGGTGGTGGGTACATCTGAGGTGATCACCTAATCAGCTGGGTGTGTTTTGTTTGGGTTTTGGATATTTATTTTTTTGTAGGAGAGCCTGTTGGCAGCATTTACAAAGTCTGTGCAGATATGTGCCTGCACGGATCCAACTTCAGACATAGTTCTGGCAATGAATGAGGCCCTTGGGTTGAGACCTGTGTTTTAGCAGTAATCCTGAATGAAGTTCTTGTGTTCAGTGAGACAGCACTTTAAGAGAATAAATTGGATTAAGTGGAATTAGACTAAGGATTACAGCAGCTTCGGTGGAGGTTGCCATGTGGCTGACAAGCTGCTTGTGCTGTTTTCAGTTGGCTGACATGAAGCAGTTGCTGTCTTCACAAACCTCTACATTATAAAGAAGATAGCAGATACCAAACGGGTCCTAAGTAATGAACAGAAGATATCTCAGTTGTGTGGCTTATTGCTGTTCTCCTGTATCACCCAGAGGAAGCCTTTCATCTACTGTCCATGGTTGTAGGGACTGACTAGGAGAACGCGTGGGTTTTGTTTGAGGAGTGGGTAAATACTCTTGCATCCTTACTGTGGTTGTTCATCTCAGCCCAGGTGGTTGTGTGCAGTTGTTAAGGGGCTTCTTCAAGCCCCTCAACCACCTACCATGTGGCAGGTTTGGAAACAGTGTCTGCACTCAGACATGGGACAAAGCTGTGGTGATTCTGTTCCCTGCCCGTGCTGCTTTTGCACCCGTGGTGCCAGGACTCAACTGTAGATGTATTTCGCTTGGGTGTCTGGGGACACCCAGGCTGCTGGAGAACTGCTGCAGTGGCTTCAGTGCTCCCTGCTTTGGGCAACAAATGTGAGAACAGCTCACGTGTTGAAAAGCATCTTTTTGAGCACTTCCGCTTGCTTACTTTGCCTAGCTGTTGTAACAGTCTTTTGGAGCTCAAAGCAAGCGAGTGTGAAATACATAAATAATCATGAAGATTAATGGGGTTTCAGATTTATTTTTTTTTCCTTTCACCATCTCCACGGTTACCAGAAGAAACCTGAAGTGTTTCTGGCTTCTCTGTTGCTCTGCTATGCATCTCTCAACCAAGTTAGAATGTTTGATCCTCAGTGTATCCTAAAGACGTGAAGAGTGAGATAATATGGCTTAACAGAAACTGGAACAAGAGTGAGAAATTCCAGGGCCTTGTGTCTATTGGAAAAGATTTATTTTTGACTTGAAAGGAATGTAGATGCTTTCCAGTGTAGCAAGCTAGGTTATTACCTTTTGAGAGAAAGTAAAGACAGTCACTGTGGTAACAATGAGCTCAATGTATAGCTTATAAAAGAAGTTTTGATATCAAAAGTAACAGAAAAAGATCACTTGGCTTGCCACAAGTTAGCAAAAGATCTTGCAAACTTTATTTTGGGCTTAAGGATATTTCAAATAATGACTCAGAAGACACCTTCTGATGGTGAAGAGTTGTGTGTCCTGCTGCCGTGTGCTTCACGGGCAGGGCTGAATTTCAGATTCCTAGTATGTGCTCTCAGCAGTACCTGTATGGTCATCGGGAGCATAAGGGTGCTAAATTTGTATTACTTGATTGTGAGTGTATGGAATAATTGGCATTTGCAGTAATAAAGCCGGATTTTGCCCATGGTCTCTGCCAGAATCTAAACCCATGTTTACAAACTAAAATACGTGAACACTTTTGTTTTGAAATAGTTTAGATACCTACTTTTGCAGTAAAAGTATTCTGCATGCCATCGGTTTTGCTAATTCCTGGCTTCACACCTGCTTAATGTTTCTTGAAAAGAGCCTTGTTTATTTAAGAAAATCACATGGATGTGCATGCACTTGCCATAGCAAAAGAACCCTTCCTTAGTCATGTAGAAGCTGCCCATTGTTTTTATTACTGCATTTCAAAAAGCTGGTGGCTCACTTAGTCATGTAGAAGCTGCCCATTGTTTTTATTACTGCATTTCAAGAAGCTGGTGGCTCCCCACATTTCTGTTGTATAGTGCTGCTGTTGTTTCAGTCAAAATAGCAATATTTATTGTCACAATATTTATTGAGTTTATCAAATGCTTGCCAGAGTTGCAGCAAAACTTGTCATTGAGTTACCATCATCCAAAACCATCCTTCCAAAGCTTGGATTGCGCCTGGAGAAGTCCTGCCTCATTATACCTCAGGAGGATGGGGCAGTTTGTTGTGCCTTGCAGATTCCAGCCTTCCTGGTCACGGGTTGCAGGTGCCTACTGTAGTTACTACTGCTTGTAGCTACTCTGTTCCCTGTTCTGTTACTGAAGCTTGCTGTGCAGTGACACTCTTCCGGTTTGAATGGTGCCGTCATCATGCTGAAATGTTGATCCAGCTCTGGGAAGGGCAGAGAGCTGATGAAAAACCTGAAACTCTGTGGAGAAGTTTTCCCTGGTGTCATGCTGGCCTTCAGCAGCTCCAAGTAACAGCATCCTTGGGCTTACATGGCCTGAGAAATTGGAGTCTGTGATCTCTTACTGGAGAAGGGCAAAAGGAGAGAAGCTCTTTGATATGCAGATGATAACAATCTAGTTGCACAGACATCAGCCTAGATTGAAGTCTTCTGACCAGCCACTTGCTTTGTCTTCATTTGGCTTTGGTTTAGTGAATGTTCTAAGGCAGAATATGTTGTCACAGTGCAAGGACATACAGTCGTGTGGGCATGAGGAGGCTGGGCAGAAGGCTCTGCTCACCCAGATAACACATGCAGGGTACATGTGCTCCCCTCGCATATTTATAATCCTTACATTCTTGTCTTCTTCTGCCTCCTTCCTGCTTTTCCTTCCTTTTAATGCCTGCACAATAACATCTCACCTTGGTACTCTACTGCTGTCCATCTCATTAGGCTCAGGATTTAAGTACTAGGGGAGGAGTAAGTACCACTAAAGGTGATGAATAAACCTTCTTGTATGAGTTGCCCTTCCCTATTTACATCTGAGAAGCATCTTTCCTTTTAACCTCCATATAAAGATCAAGCCGTTCAGACAGTCATGAATAACTTAATAGATCTGATTTGGCATGTTAGATTGTGTTAGTGGTGCCTTCTCTTGTGGATAACTGTGGGAGCGTGTCTTGTGCGTCTCTGCACTGAATGAAGTGTTTAATTTGGTGTAGATTCCTAAGCAGGTTGGTTATTTACTCCCATGTGGGCATATCCTAGACAGTATTTCTGTGTCCAATTCATGTGGACAGAGGTGGCTGCTGAGACAGTATTGGTATGCATCTAGAGGAGCATGTGGTTTAGAAAAGTGAGGAAATAACTGCAAGATGTTCCAGGAGGTTGAACGAAGTTCAAAGCAGATGTGGCAGATTTCACAGGTCACTTCTGCCTGGTATGATGTTGTGTCTGCTGTGCAAGATGCAGAAAATTACCAACCCAAAAACACCACTGCAAATGTTTCAGGTGGTAAAGAATCAGCAAACGCCGCAGTTAGAAATAATCAAGTGGAAGTTTTGAATCAGTCTCTACCTTTTGTTGTGGAGAAAATGACTTTGGTTTCCCAACTAGCTTTCTTCCCTTTCCTTGAGTATCTCAGACTGGAGATACTTGTGCAAAGACTTAAGTCTTGGTTCAGGAAAAGCCTTAAATCTATGCTTAAGTTCAGGCATGTGGTTAAGTGCATACCAGGATCTGAGCAGCTTCAGGGTGTTTGGATTTGTTTCAAATGCTTTTTTTATTACCCTTGTTCCATCAAGACTGAAGTATTAAGGCTTATTTCTTGTTCATGTGTTGGGCCTGACGTGTTGTTCCAAAATCATTTCCCCCAAGCTGGCAAGAGGATGTGACTAAATGGAGAAACAGCTTTCTAGTAGCTGGTGATATTTTATCTCAGTCTATTAGAATCACATTTTGGAGACAAACAAAACCTCTGGTTACAGCACATGGGAAACTCTGGATGAGGTTAATTCCAGTATCCTAAAGAAGAATGTTGCTAGGGACCCACTGTTGAGCAGGGCTGCTGTGGGAAGGTAATCTGAGCATCTTGACTGATTTTATGTTCCTATGCTCCTGCTGCCCTGC